CCGGCTGCTATGCATGCAAGTCTAGGAGGCCCCAGGACGTTGAAACCTTGGTCCTGTCTCCTCAACCAACCTGTCCGACGATGTGGGGCTCCAACCTGTGATCTCGTTGAAAAAGATCTGGTTCGCCCCACAGTGCCCAAGCGCAGATCTGGATGAGCTTTGGGGGGCAAAACGTTCAGAAGGATTCTGAACAGGGCAACCCGAAACAACCCATGAAAGTATGTTTAGCAGGCATGTTTTGCTAGCTAGCTCGTGCCTTTGCTGGGTTTCTTTTCTTGCGGAGTTTACTCCTCTTTCAACCTTCGTCTTCCTTCGAAGGTGCTTCAGTCCTATTCTTAAGTATTGGTTGACTTGGCTTGACTACCTGGAAAAAAGGCCTCAACATTAGGCCTCGTTTTGGATTGGTTAAGTTCACTTCATGTGAATTCCAATCTGATTTTCCGTCCTGCAGGGATTTTTCCGTGGTTGTCGAAGTCATCCTGCTCGGCGGTGTTGTCCTTGATTGATCATGGGTCCTTGGATCGTATTGGATGATGTCAGGAATATTCCAGGGGTACCCCCACATCACCGAACAGGTTGGTTAGGGGATGCTTGCAGGGGTGGCTTACCCCCACCCGGGGAGGTTGGCGCACGGTCGACGTGTCAGAGGATGGAGACAAGAAATGGATGGGCCGGTTCTCCCCAAAATCCACTGATCAGTCACTGCTTTGATAGCAAAAGGCCGTGTGATTCCATAGGCGGCTGCAACCCCGGTGACTGCCTCGGGTCCTTTCTCCATGGCTGCCTCGGGCTTGCAAGACCCAGGTGTTGTTACGAGCCTCAGCCCCCCTCCGTCGTGATTGGCTGCCATGGCCTTCCGCTTTGAAACGGCCCAGCCTCAGGTGCGGTGCGGTTTGGGGTCGCGGAGAATTCGGTTGGGGTGTTTCATGAATATGAATGGATTGAACCGTTGCAGCATTGGTGGGAGGAAAGGACAGGACGGTTTTTTCAAAGCGACCACGAGAGCTGACAGGTCCTGGGCGGTGCCAGCTCCAGTGGTGGAGGTTGGCGCACGGTCGGCGTGTCAGAGGATGGAGACTTCGAGAACTCATCGGTCCTTGGTGCTTCTCCACCATCTAGGGCCTGGTCGTGCGTCGCTCACCCCAGCGGTCGCGCTGGATCCGGATGCCCGAGCCCCCCCTGTTTTGGTCACCGGGGTCAGAGGGGTTTTTCTTCCTCAGCCACTCCTCAGCCGTCCCCCCAAAAAGCAGCCAGAGACACCCCGATCTCATGTCTCATGACAAACGATCAAAGAAGAGATCCCAAAACACCCACGCCTTCCCCTGCAATTTCCGGGGTGTCGGGATCAAGGTTCAACGGGGCGTCTATTCATTCACCACCCTGACAGGGGGTCCTGGTTGTTGTCACTGTGTTTCCTGGTTTCAGCCGCTAGTTTGGGGGTGTCATCGATCATCTGCTCATCTTTTTTCGTGTTTCGATCATCTGCCCCTCCCAAAGAATGCATTTAATGCATGTAATCGTTAAGTTACTATGAACGATAAATGACCAGCACCAGCACCTTCAAAGGGGTCACCAATGGAGGCCCCTACATTTTGTAGGGATCTCCATTGGACAGCCTTTGAAGGTCCAGGCATGGACTTCGATCAACGGCTTGGTTTTTTAAAATGCATCAGCAACTAGACCACGCAAGTGCGAAACCACCTGCTTAAAAGGGTCATCCAAGGGACCATGCCATTCACGTCATCATGTGATGTGAGACCGTCAGAGTGTCTCCCTGCCGAACACCACCCCGCCACTGGGCATGGGCCGCTGGGACAGACGGTCGTGGAAGGTGGTGAGGAGTCACCCATTCTTCAGCGGCTGACCCTCTAGAAGCACAAGAAACATTTTAAAAAACCAAGCCGTTGATCGAAGTCCATGCCTGGACCTTCAAAGGGGTGTCCAATGGAGATCCCTAGGTAGTGTAGGGGCCTCCATTGGTGAACCCCTTTGAAGGTGCTGGTGCTGGGAAGTGGACCCCTCCGACCCCGGTGACCAAAACAGGGGGGGCTCGGGCATCCGGATCCAGCGCGACATGACAGCCTAGAGGATTGAAGCGAGTCCCGGAGTGAAAACGTGTGGGACGCATCCCAAACTGGGCACACCCGAGATTGAGGAGACCTTGAGGCGGTACATCCTTTGAGGTTTGGATGTGGTTTTCTGCCTCACCAGCAGCGAAGAGTCGAGCTAGTGGACTCGCTTTTCAAGACTGCTATATAATGGACAGTTAAGCACCGTCCGAATTTTCTCTTCTGCATGCCGTCTCTGAACACTTCTGCACAGAAGTGAACTGAATGGGGCTCTTATGTTCACTTCTGAGCACTTATGTTCTGTTGAGTCACGGAACACTTCCATTGACTGAATGACAGCTGAGACGTGGTTTCTTCTCCAACCCTCCGCTGAAAAGGGTGGATTCTCCGTCCCACGCCTCGGAGAGGCAACTTGCACTTTTGTAGCGGGAAGGTCTCCGCCACTGGGTTTTTGTGGTTGGTGGGGTGGGAAGAGGGATGGGAGAGGAATGAAAGAAGGATCTAGCACGGAAATTGGAGACGATGGGTGAATCAAAGGGTTACCCACCCCCTAAATTGCAGGTATGGAAAGAACGAGTGAGTTGCCTTGAACAAAGTATTGGGCTTTTGATACTATAGATTCAGCCATGATGGCCCTTATATGGCATGCGGCATGTTGGATCCATCTCTCTGCCGTATCTCTTGGGCGGGCTGCGGCGTGATCGCAAGACCATGCCCAGCCCAGCCACCTCCACTTCCAATACAACTTCCACTTCGCTGTTCGCCACAATCTTGGGGTTTCGGAAGTTCCAACGACGTTTGGGGTGATGCAGTTTGGAGAAGTGAAGATGAAGATCATGAGCGAGAGTGTGGCCCGGCCAACCAGAAATCCAAATCATCCAAGTTCGAGATTCTAGCAGCTTGGAGGTAGGGTGAGTGGTGGATCGAACTCTGCCAGGCTTTCTTGGAGCACGTCGCAAAGCTGATGCCCGGGCGCCATGATTGCCCGAACGGCTATTCCGAACATTCCTTGGGGTTGAACTGGGAGGTCTTCCAATTTTAATACATGCCCACTTCTTCAATGACTTTAAAGGTCAGTCTTTCCCTTCATGGATGATACTGAACCCTGTCAAAGAGACCAAGTTCTTCTATAAGGTGAATATCGAGGTACAGCATTATTACTTGTATTCAGTCGCTAAAATAGTACCCCGCTATAAGTTTTTTTAAGAAACATGGTCAAACAAAGAATAAGGCGACTACTGTATTATTCTTTGTTTTCCCATGAGTGAATCTGGGAAATAGTTCCTTTTCCCGGTTCCTATTAAGCATCCAAGCAAATATATATATATATAGATATATAGATTTGATGTTCCGACCGGCCGGCGAGTTTCTTCCCCGCTTCAACCGACCGACCTGCACAGAGGCCTGACACTTTGTGAGGGAGCCGTCAGGCTCTTGGGAATTGGCATCTCAACACGTTACATGTGGGTTGCTTTGAGGGCAAGCAAGTAAGGTAGCGATAGGTGGGTGATAGGCTAATAGGTGGCTGGTCAGGAAAGTCTTGTCAGAAACACATCTGCAAGACTTGGTGTCTTTCATGTATGCTTGGGGTGTACCTTTAGGCTTCGTCATGCCCATTTTGGGAGGGATGCTCGATTTCCAAGGCCCTGGACGTGGTGCTGCGTGAGCACCCGATTTGGCCTGGATACCTAGAGCAACAAAGATGGTTCTGTAGGCCATGGAGCTGTACTTATTTGAGCTGAACTAGTTGTTGGAGTCAGACATTGTTATACATTATCGTTGATAGCAAGTTACACTTTGAGAGAAAGAGACAAGTACGTCCAACAATCCCACCCCAATAGACTTATAGTAGGCTTATTAGCCACACCACGCCACCACAGACTTTTTGAGAGTCTTGAAGTCCAGTACACATGTAAAATCATAACCTTCTTCCGAAACCTGCGTCCCAGGAGGGGCGACTGAGCCCTGCAGGCAAATGTCGGTGAGAGAGACCCAGGGGTCGGCTGATACATGTCAGGCAGCGTTTCTCAAGGTGGTGATCAGTGAAAATTAAGTAATTTTGTTTGTGGTGCTGAAAACTGTAGATGCGTTTGAGTGCAATAGTTGAGACCGTGATGCATCATCCTTTGTGATGGTTCGCAGCCAGGGCCAAAGGCCTCCCGACTCCCCCGCGGTCTGTGGGCGGCGGTGAATCGCTGTTGGCCATGGCGGGAGTGGGGTTGAACCTCACGGGGCTTTTGCCAGATGAGAGGCCGAGAAGGGCAGGAACGTGAAAACCTTCTTGCTGGCTTCAAGAGCGCATTTCAAGCGTCAAGTGTCAAAAAGATGAGTTTGGCAACAAAGAACGTCACGTTAATTTATCTTGGTAGACGACAAATGATCCAAACATATTCTAGTCGTAAAGTCGCAAAGGGTTTGCAATATCTGAAAGGGGTCCACAATAAGGAAATGACGTTTTTTCCACGAAAGCTAGCACCAGCTAGCTGGAATTATTTTTGATTTAGCAAGTGAGGGGTTTGAATCCTCGAGCGTGCCGCATCGCGTCAAGTTGTAGGTCGGCCCCCCCTGCGGCTTCAACTCCTCCCTAGGACGTCTTTGACACGTGTGATTTCCATGCTCACCCCCGCCCTGCTAGCTTTCGTCACCAACCCTCGGCCTCAAGTTCAAGTCCTGGCAAAATCATAGGGTTTTTTTGATGTTTTGTTATCCTTTCCCTTGACGAGGTGGATCGCCGAAATGCAGTACGATGCCACGGCCGAATGCCAAGCCTTTCGCGGCCAACACAGAGCGGATACGATCTTTGTCGCTGCTTGGCTTTCCGAACAATATTGTTTGGCCTACGGGGTTGGACTTGGTTTTAGCTGCTTTCACTGGCAATAGGTGTTCTCGTTCACTTTCAATCGACAAAAATGTAACGGATCCACGATGGATCTTGAAGAGAAACTTCCAAGGTTACAATGGCAGCGCGCATCATTCAGATGCAGTCAGGTTTTGCTATGCTCGAGTTGCTCAGTGACATTCAGCATTTGCAACCTTTCAAAGGAATGCAAGATTTCGTTTGCTGATGGTTGTGAGTTTGTTTCGTTGACTTGTAGAAGAAGCAAACTAGATGTTTTCATATTGTTTTCAGAACTGTTCTGGATTTGCAGTGCTTTGATGTTTCATTATGTGTTCGCTCAAGGTCTGCATACCAACAGCCAAACAATTCGGCAAACATCATGATGAAGAACATGCTGGATCTTTGTATCGGTGCCCGTTCCAAGTCACAGAGAGATACAGTCAACGTTGTTGCCTTGGACACATTCTTCATCCTTTAGTAGTTTCCAGTGGACACGTGACAATTTGTTGTGAACATGAACGAGAAGAGCAGCATGCTGGGGGTCAATTTCTGGCACCACTGTTTTTGAGAGGGTCAATGCGATTGTCACCTGCTGTTTTCCAACATCTCAAGGTTGGAGCCTTTGCGGAGGTAGATCTCAAGGTGTGTTTCTTGCTGTGTTTGATCAGCTCAGGTGTGTTGGCGTTTTGGATCTTTGGCTACTACATTGCCTACCACGCTACACATCAGCTCACAGGCAGGATGCCAAAGATATCCAGAGCTTGGCAGACAGAATCCCAATCATTTTTCGTTCAGCCCTCGAGGCTTGGCAGATGCGGGTGTCGACCTGGCACACTGGTTTTGCTGCTTTTCCTATGCGACGACGGCCGCCACCATCAATAGTGGGGCCTTGGCGGGCCGAGTCGCTTTCTTCCCCTATCTATTCCTATCAGCAGTGATGACCGGTGTCCTTTACCCGAGTCTCGGCAGATACAATCCAAGAACTTCCAAGTGAGAAGCTAGAACCATACTTGCGTCAGATTTCCACAAGCAAAGCAGACTCGCAGGAGTTGCTTTTGGATGGTGGATAGACGTCCAGCCGACATTGACTTGTGACTTCCAATATCGTCTTGACGATGTCCGGAGTTGAGGATTTGTGCACATTTGTCGTGGGGCAATGGCTGGCTGCAGCAGATGGGTTTTGTCGACTTTGCAGGCTCCGTGGTGGTTCACCAGGCACGTCTGTGGAACATGTAGAACGACATGGAACGACCCTGCCTGGATTTGATTGTAGGTGTTTCTCTTTCGATCCAATGATTTTGCATGTGAGACTCAGAAGGGAATAGTGACCTCTACCTTGACGACAAGCAAGCCATAGCAAAACTGAGGCCAAAGCAAGCCTAAGACCTAAGCAAGCCTAAGCAAGCTGCTAGAGGACTTTGAGATTGGACTCTGACCGACTGATTGAACCTTGATTTCCCCATCGGTTGAGCAGCCACCAAAACTAACAAGAAGCTACTAGTAGCTCCTGGCATTACTGCTATAGTAGCAAGGACGCTACTAGTAACAAGGCAGCTTACTACTAGTAGCAAATAGCTATAGGAGCAAAGGGCATCACTACTAGGAGCAAGGAAAAACTAGCGGCTCCAGGCCCTACTACTAGGAGCAAGAAGCTACTAGGAGCAAAGGGCATCGCTACTAGGAGAAAGGACGCTACTAGGGGCTCCTGGCCCCTTACTACTAGTAACAAGAAGCCGAAGAACGGCACGGAGGGGGGTTGGGTGGCGGGTGCACCGTGAGGTGGGCGCGGTGAGCGCTTTGGTCTCCACCTGCATCTTAGGGCCACGCATTGGTCGCTTCAAGAACTATCGTGCCTGGAAGGGTATTTGGGCCGCGCCCTGGCAAGATGGGATTGGAGTTCATTGTCTTTCATAGAAAGACCAAAAGTAAGGGACAGGTTGCAGCCTTAGCATGGTCTTCTAGTAGCATTGAGTAGGACCATTTGTGAAACATCGTCGCATTCTGCTGAGACCATGCCGAGACCTGACAGTGTCGAAATCGAGTCACATCACGCGTCACGCCGAGACGAGGTCTTCTTTTTCGAAACACATGATGATGCTTATTACCGAGAACCGGAGGCAGTTGGACAAGAGTTGGGAAATGGGAGTTGGAGAGCTTTCAAACTGGCATCATTGATTCGGGGAAGGCAGTTGCAGGTTGGAATCATTTTGCGTCGTCTTTTGCGTGTGGCCAACCCACAGTTGGACATGGGCACGAGTCTCATGCTCATGTAGTGGCAGAGTTTTTCTCAATTGAAGGATCCAGCGGAGCTGAAGGTCTTCATTCCTTTCCGGAAATGCCGGCATCCGGTCCAGCTTCTATTCGGAGCCTAGGTCAAACAAAGTATATAACTCTTGTAAAGCCAAAAACTCTCCAAAGAAAGCGTTGCTGAAGCTAGACTTGTTGTACGGCCAGCCGACATACTCCTGTTTGGGCAAATGTGACCTCAACACATCCAACATTTTTCCTGTGCCCGCTGTGACGCGCAACCAGTCGCGACCATTCTTGGATTTGTTCGAGGCAGCATACTTTAATCAAATATAGATTCGCCTTTGATGGCGGAACATCTTAATTATTCTCTTTGATAGCTTCAGCATTTCTGGAAGACTCTTTCTGACCACACTTCAAGTGGTGGACTGAGGAACTTTCCTCCTGCTCGTGGGCTTTTTGGCCTTCAACCCAGCATCAACCTTCGCTACCACGCTGGGGCAGCTTGTTGTGAGCAAGAACAGGTAGGTGGAAATGACTGGGACAACGGAGAAGTAGCGGATGTGGAGCAGAAAAGCCTGTGTGCAAAGAGCAGTCACGTGTTGTCAACAACTCCGTGTCTAGCCCACAAACTGTTTTGACACACACACACACACACACTCTCTGACATTCTGACATTGGTTTTCAGTTAGCTCAATTAATTCCCACGTCGAGAAGGAAGGTGAAGGAACGGAAAGGTGCATGGGTCCGCAGAAAAGTCTTGTTGAACAAGGTTTCACAAAGAGCGCAAGTGGAAGCGGCGTTCAGCAGCTGCAATGCAGTGGGAAACCTGTTTTTGGGGTAGGTAGCATGAAGAACCATGGAAACAAAAAGAGCGAATTGGACAGCGTGGTCAACAGTTAGTCAGCAGGTACGTGGATTCTGCGTCCAGAATCCATATCAGTGACTCAAAACAGCCTCTTCGTTGGACTGCCGCTGTTAAGAGTCAGGCAGTCCCCCTGCGTGAACAATGGAAATTGTAAGGTGGAACCCTTGGAAACAGGGGTTGACACACACACACACACACACACGCATGTACCATGACAGGCTTTTAGAGGTCAGCGCTTGTGTCATTTACGTTTAGCGTGCTTGCTAATGCAACGCACCAAGGTCCAAGTCCAAAACACAAAGGTTTTTTTGCCTTTCACTTTTTCTGTTTCATTCTTTCTCTCTGCTTTTTCCTCTAGACCGTTCTTGTAAGTGAAGAAGAAAGCTCTCTTGTGAGTTGTAGCCATGGGTAAGGATGCCACCCAAGGCCTGAGGCCATCAGTAAGGTCAACATCAAAGCCATCTAAGAATCTAAGGCCGAGGCCTGCTACTAATGTCATTAAGGCTACTCTAAGGCATTCATCGTTACTAGGTTGGAGGCCATGGCCATTAGGTCGGGGCAGAGCGGCTTCAAAAAATCATTTCGCTTTGAGCATTCTTTTTTTGCTTTCTTGGCTCTTTGAGCTTTCTCTACACCTGAGGGCTGACTTAGTCGTTGCACATAGCTCTGCCACGACGCTCTTGGCGGCCGCTGGTGGTGGAGTTGGAGGCTCGATGGCTTCAAACTTGGCGTTTTGTCTCCTAAAAGGATGGAATTTTGAGTGCAAACTTGTAAGGCGCAGACATAAAACGGATGCACCAATGAATATACTTGCTACTGATGCTTTCGGCCTTTCGACCCCCGAGGCATGCTGTTTTCGATGCTCTACACAAGATCAACGGTGGTTCGTGTCCCCGAACTGACCAACGCGGTCATTGGGAGCCTTGTAGCGTCCTGCGCACCCGCAGCGGTGATGCCGTTGTCAGCTGGTGTTTGTACAGTACGCTTTCAGAACCCAAGTGTTTCCTTCTTTTGTTTTTAGCTTTGTTCTAGGTTGGAGGCCATCGCTTTTAGTTAAGTTTCCCTAAAAATCTAGGAACCAAATCATTAGTGCGAGTGCTTCTTCAAGGAAGGGTGGAGTTTCCTTGAAGAAGCGCGAGCTATCCTGCGTCCAGTAGTTAGTAGCTACTTAGTCTACTAGCTATTCCTCTCTAGCTACTAGCTACTAGCGGCCTACCCCCTTAAACACAAAAACAACACAATATATATATATAGTAATTAGTTGTTTTCCTTTCTAACATAGTTTGCTAGCAGGTTGGAGATCGGTAGCTGTTCCGATCTAAGGTCAGTCTCTCCCCTCGTAGGACAGCCAAAGACGGCGAACGCAAGCGAGCTTGTGGACGCCTTCAGTCCGTCGATCCAATTTGTGCTACTAGGAACAAGGCACCATACTAGTAACTTAGTAGTAACAAATAGCTACTTTGTCTAGTATTGCGATGTGTTGTTTTGCTTTTTTTTCTCATTCCTTGGTCAACAGACCCTTTTGACACTTTTAAAGAACGCTGGCTTCTCTCATGCATGCTAATGCATCTGCCTGTCCAGCATTGCACTTGTGCGGATGGACAATCCGAGGAATTCTAGTTGGGAGGAGGGCTGAAACCAGAAAATAGGGGCTCCTGGCATCGCTACTAGGATCAAGGACGCTACTAGGGGCTCCTGGCCGTACTACTAGGAACAAGAAGCTGCTAGAAACAAGGAGCTACTAGGAGCTACTAGGAAGAGCGTTTTGAATTCTGGTCCAAAGTTCTGTCACCCGAGCTGAGAGGATTTGTAGCGGCGATTCTCACCCTTGGCTTTGAGGCAGCTTTATTTTTTGTGCTTTTACCTTTCGGATGAACGCACAGAGAAGAAGACTCAAGCGTGACAAGTGTTTGGTTGCCTTCGAGAACAAAAGTCAGAGGCCTTTCCACAGCAAGCGTGAACAGGCTTTGCTTTGACAGTGATGTATGTTCACTCGGTTTTGCGCGAAAGCGTGCTGCAGGAGATCCTTTCATATTTTCAAATTGACGATGCAGTGGGGGCAGTAGCAGCCCATGGCCCGAGTGGAGCACCTTGGCAAAGGGATGTCGATCAAGGGAAGCATCCATTACTTCACTGCCCGATTGAAAGCATCCTAATCAGCCCAATTGTATCAAAAAAAACATCCAGTTCGTTCAACGAGGGCTCTTGAAGGAAGCTTTTTGCTTGCCCTCAGGTGGGAGAAACTCCCCCGAAGGACCTCAGTAGCCTTTTTTTTACTCCTTGGCTTTCTCTTTCTACTTGCTGTTCATGGCCGACCCACCCACTGAAAACGATCTTACGTGATGTCTTATGTCTAGCCAACAAATCTAGACCAAGGTGGACCAGTTCCCCATGCGTCAGTCTAAATATATGCAATACTAAAAAGTTATACTATATATACACAAGTATATGCACATAATATGACACATATCTACACAGTTGAGAGTCCATTCACCTGAGGCTTGGGGAGCCATTGCGGTGGCGCTATTTGCCGACAAACACTGCGCAAATCCTGAGGTTGTTGGCCTAGTGTTTGGCTCCTCGGCGGCGACACTGGCCGACGTCTGACTTCATTGGTCTTGACGTATCCATGAAGTCCAGTTACTAGTAGCGATGCCTTTGTTACTAGTAGCTTCTTGTTACTAGTAGTAATGCATTTGTTACTAGTCGCGATGCACCTGTTCCTAGAGAGTCCAGTTTGATTTTCCATGATGTTGCAGTCACAAATTATTCCAGTGGGTATGCTCAACGTTCAACGTTTCGCTACAGCAAATACTCCATCTTACAGCCCAAGCGAATCTACTGTGAAGCAGGCATTGGGGGATATTTGTGGCAAGCAACCACCGAACTTGCAATGGTCTCCACCATATTAGCGATGGCCTCCACCCTACTAGCCATGGTCTCCAACCTACTGGCAAGGCCTCCAACCTTATAGCAATGGCCTCCAACCTACTAGAGATGGCCTCCAACCTAGAAGCAATGGCCTCCACCCTAGAAGCGATGGCCTCCAATCTAGAAGCAATGGCCGATGGCCTCCAACCTAGAAGCGATGGCCACCAACCGAGAAGACATTTATATTGATGGTTTTCAGTCGTATCCATGATATTCCATGATGTTGCAATCGCACACATTTCTAGAGGGTATGACCGGATATGCTCAACGTTTCGCCACAGCATATACTCCAGCTTAGAGCCCAAATGAATCTGTGAAGCAGGACATGGGCATTTGGGCAACTAGCAAATTTCATCAAACGTCTATTCATATTGATTGCTAGTAGGTTGAAGGCCATCTCTTCCGTAGGTTGCTTGATTCACCTGCTGAGCATGATCCTGGTTCGACTTAGCGCTTTCCAGGTGGTGGTGAAGCAGCCTGGCAATTGATGGGAATTCAGCTTCTAGGAATGGTCGTCCTGTGCGGCATCTCAATTGGCATCACCTATGTCTCGGTGCTGAGCCTTGACTGACGGGTTGGATAGTGAACCAGAATATATACAGATTTGGTCAAAGAAAGGAAAGGTCTACAGGTCTAAGAAGGAAGAAAAAGACAATAAAAGACATGTATCTATCACATAGATAAGGAAGCTTCGCTGACGTGAGCTCTACGTAGGTCTAAGAGAAACGTAGCATAGGCGGAGGAACATCCATGTCCAACATTTGAGTGCTACTAGGGGTTGTCCCCATTCATCGATGGCGGACATTTGGGTGCTACGAAGTACCGGACATGCTGATGCAGTGTAGCTGGATTGAGTCCGGACAGCTTTTTTTTTGTGAATGGTCTGATAGAAAGAAAGAAACAAGGGTAGAAAGGTAGAAAGACAAAGGAAGAACCAAAGAAAAACAGCATCATTCTTCGTAGTAAGGCTTAATAACATCCAAGACCAAAGAGGAGCACTGCAGCTTACCTAGATTCTTTCAGAAGTCTGATCTGATGTCTCTTAAGGGTCATCGACATGGTGGCGGGCTTCCGGTGCACCCGCGCATGTGAGCTAATTGGGCTGGACGTTTGGGAGCATCAGCTGCTTGTTGCAAAGAAGGGACTGAAGAATCACCAAGTGAAAGCTTCACGTATCGCTCCCAATCAGGTCCAGACACATGAAGCTTCAAAAAGGGAAGAAAAACAAGTCTCAAGGTCTAATGAAAAGAAACAACAAAAGACAAAGAGAACAAAGAGCAGCAAAGAGAAGGTGCGAGCAAGTAGAGGACAACGATACATGTTTTTTCTTGATTTCCAGATGCAAAGCATTCTTGTGAGGAGTGGGCCATTGAGTTCATGATGCGTTGTATTTTTTTTTGTTTTGTGGACACGTATATCCTTGTTTCATATTTTTTTCCGTTTTTTTTAATGTTCCCCAAACAAGTCTGGTCTTTGGAAGTCCTTGGCCTTCGACAGACCTCATTCGGTACGCCTCGCACCTAAGGTTTCATGATGGTACCTTCGAAAAGGATAACGACAAGGTGCTGTCCGTTCTTGAGTGCGCTTGTCGAAAAAGGAAAGACAAGTCAAGAAGGTAAGCTTAGTTGAAAATCAAGTACCCTTCACCCTGTCCCAGCCTCTAGTAGCTTCTTGCTGGCTGCGACTCATTTCACAGCCCGGAAGTGGTTTCTTTTCTTAAAACCCTTAGACCCCTTTCTGTATGTTCCCCTTGTTTTTCAGATTCCGCTCCTTCCCTGCTTCTTTCCTGATGGCTTGACCTAGCCATCGTTTGACAATCGATCCTGCCACCTTAGGCGACGTACTTTCAAGCTGCGAAGCTGAAAGAGAGCTTGAGCCAGTACACCTGGTGGTCCAAGCTCAACAGCCCAGAGAAACGGTACCTGCTCCTTGGTGAGAAATCAGTCAAAACAGTAACAAGAAGCTATTAGAAACAAGGGCATCGCTACTAGTAACAAGTTAGGGCCGTTCTTGGGTTGAAGGTGGTCTTTAGAAGCCTTCGCCTTGGAATTCTTTACGCACTTGTCGGGAATAGTTTATGGATCACGATGATGCAAGGATCATAAGCTAGGGGCTCCTGGCATCGCTACTAGGAGCGATCGGACGCTACGAACGGGGCTCCTGGCCTTACTACTAGTAACAAGAAGCTACGAACGTAACAAGGGAAGGTTGTTCGGATTCATTGAACAGATGAGCGAGTCTGAATTCAGGGCCGAGCAGAAGAAAGAGGAGCTGTCCAAAAAGTTGGATGCAAACAAAGAAAAGGCCAGCATCCTCACAGACTTCCAGAAACATGTACTTTTCAGCGTTAACCTCACGCGGAAAGACAATCAAATGAAATGGCAAAACACTTTTGTTGCACTAGCCTTAGCGTCCAGTATGTTTTGCCTATCACCACGATACTTTTGCATTGGATGCGCCTATCTCATCAGCTTTGTATGAAAAGCTTGGAAAGCCTTGAGATCAGTTTCCCATTGCAGGGGACCATGGATATGGAAATGGAGGTCTCAATTCTGAAAAAGCAGGTTGAGATGTGTGCAGCTCAGATCGGGAACCGAGGCGAGCTTCCACTAGTAGCTTCTTGCTACTAGTAGTAATGGCCTCCAACCTAATAGAGATGGCCTCCACCTACTAGCGTCCTTGTTACTACAGTAGCATACAGTAGCTCAAAAAAAATGAACCGATTTGCGCTGAGGTTGCAATCGCAGATTCAATTGCTCACCCTCGGAAAGATACAACAGCACAACCCTGGCGAGGACACTTTGAGAAAGCCGTGAGACAGCAGTTTCTTGCTTTCAGAAGATGTTCAGAAGTCCTTTGATACATATTTGCGTGAGGACATTTTCGGTACCCAGGGTGGTCAACAAGAAGAAGACGAGAACGAGATCTGTGCGCCATCCAAGGCTTTTAGTTCTTGGATCCTCCCAACCCATTGGAGTCTGAGCATCTCTCTTCCACTTATTTCAAAAAGAGTCAGAGACAACTGGTTGAGTGAGCGGATGTAAGATTTGCTCGGTGCGGATTGGACTTGGTCATTCGAGCTTGTCATGTTTGCGGAGGTACCAAAGGTCTTTGATCTGGATGCATCAGCCTTAGCCGGCCCTATCCACTTTGGACTAGCGGTGTGAAGATACATGTCCGAATGCTTCTGACAGGTGTGAAAGCGATCCTTCCCTTTTCACTTTTTTCAATCTTAAGAACAACGTGCAAAGACCATCAACCATGCAAAGTCAACCACATATGGTGGGGTCAGGGCTCCAGCATGTCTGCAGGTGTCGCTGAAGGCGGAGGTGATCAAGATCTCTTCGTGGTGCATGTTGATGCAAAGAGAAGAGTAAACACCACCAAAACTGGGGTGCATTGTAGGTACAGGTCTCTCATCCACAGCCAAAGGGAGGTCGGTGTTTAACTGTTTTCCTGAAGAACAGGTTGGGAGAATTAGCCAAATCAACGTGCACCTAGTTTTTTTCCAGAGAAACAGATCTTTTCAGCACAACTGGCTATACATATGCTCACAGTGCAGGACACTTCACTAGACCATGCGAGAAGGTGCTGATCAACCATCGGCCTTTATCGACTAATGGGGGGTCCTTGTCATCTACAGCACGGTTCTGCTTAAAACTCCTAATGATTTGTATCCTTGTCCTGCTGACACAGAAGTGCTGTCACTGTGAGTGAAAGAATGTGCAGGAGCATTCTGTGCATGCGCACGCATGCAGGGTCCAAAGCATTTAGCTGCCAGTTGCTGTCAGTTTTGAAGGATTTCCAACACACTTTTTGTTACTAGCAGCAATGGCTCCACCCTACTAGCGATGGCCTCCAACCTACTAGCGATGGCCTCCAACCTAGTAGCTTGTTGTCACTAGTAAGCATTTCCAAGACAACTTGCACGGCTGTCGGTTTCTTTGATTCATTGCCTGCACTGGTCCAGCAGCAGACCCTATTGGAGGACAGGCTTTGCGAGCGATCGAAGAGGAAGTAGACAAGACAGAGAAGTTCACGACGAAGTCCAAGTCCCGTGGCCATAGGATGCATTAGGCCGTAGGACTGGGAACAAAAGAAGATCAGGGTCCCCTTAAACGCGCCCAAAAAAGGTGCCGTATTCGAAAAGGCCGACCTAAGCCCATGTTTTCCCTCCTTTCAGACCCTTAAAGAGGTAGTGAAGTTGAAGCACAGTAGTGTAGTGTAAAATAGCAAGCTGTCTTGCAAGTCTTGGACGAAACGAACTGAAGGTCCAAAGAGACGAATAACAAGGATGGAACCATGTTGACTGGATTAAACTGACATCCCCAATGCAGGGGAACTCAACAAGCAACGGGACTGCAACCTCCAACCTTTGCATGCCACGCTGGCGACTTGAACTCTTCAAAGAAGAGGTGCTGGGTCACCATACTGACTAGGCGTTGCAAAAGAGATCAGCCGCCTGACTTTCAGTCGTGTTGAGTCCCGGAGAATATTGTTTGACTTGGAGGAGAATGTGTCAAGCACAGCCCAAACACTCGACTTGTAGAGGCCTCCGCAGCCGCCGAATTTGAAGGCGGAATTGTCCAAAAAGATGGCAAGCTCTACTGAGCCAAGTGGCTCGATGCCTGCCAATCGGATTGGTGTGACTCCCTATGATTACCTGCAATACAGCTGCACATGTTCACATCATTTCACATCGACTTTCTGCCGTTGCCCAGCACATACATATCTGATGTGTGCCCTTTGAGCGCTTATTGGCTCCGGGGGCCCAAGCGCGAAGCAACGCGCGCAGAACCTTGACCTGTCCTCCGCATGTCTTCTTGAGGCTTATGGCCCCTTGATTGAATTACTCTAGATAGAGAGTCTAAATAGTGTGGACATTGGCTCCCGAAATATGCATGCACTGCCTACCAACCAGAATGCATTTTTCTCTCTCCCTATCATACACGCAAAACTGAGGCCGACGTCTTCAGCTCAGAATCCACAACGGAGCAGCAGTCCTCACACCGATGTTGACACATTGAGGTAAGCGCTCGCCCGGTGAGGCTGCGAAGGCTCGTCGGTGCCGCTGCGAAGGTTTTGTGACTAGCTGACTCGCTTACAAGGCATCGTGAAGTCGGGACTAGGCCAGGACATCTGACAAGCTTGAGAAGCGTTGATGCCTGAGAAGCTTTGAGAATTTCCAAGCTTGAATTCCAAACTTGTTGAGACTTTAGAGATGATTTTCGCACAAGCAAATCAAACAGAGCACCAGTGAGACGGGAACGATGGCTTAGGTCCCGTCTGTTGCGCAGGTCCTTGTTTTTTTTTGGCCGTCCTCAAGGAGCTCAAAATCGTGAACTGCGAGCAAGTGCTTGAGGCAGCAAGCTGCCTCAAATCGTCGCCGTCGTGGAGCCGGACTACGTAACAGGACAGCTTTATCAAAGGAACAGGGAATCACAATGTCCAAAGGCTCCTTCATTGTGTTCAGTGTGAAGTTCTATAGCAAACTGGCAAAGACTATGGCTAGAAAGCTAGAATAATTTGTTTTGATAGACGCAGAACTGGCTATATACTCACTGGCGACTCTTGGGAGGGGTTGTCATACATCAAATCCGAGAAATGTTGCAAGCTCAAACCCACTTGCCAGGCTAGCCCAAGTCGGCTTCAAGAGGCTCTGTCAATTTACCAATTCTGTTGTCACATCGTCACATCAATCTTCACGCCTTCGCACGGCGCAATCTTGACGGCTTCATCTCCGTGTAGACACGCTTCAAACAGGTGCCATCGCTACTAGTAACAAGTGCATCGCTACTAGGAGCAAAGGACGCTACTAGGGGCTCCTGGCCTTACTACTAGGAGCAAGGACGCTACTAGGAACAAGTGCATCGCTTCCAGTAACAAGTGCCTTACTAGTAGTAACAAGAAGCTACTAGGAACAAGTGCTTTACTAGAAGCAGTTAGAAACAAGAATTGAAACGCATTCCCTGAAAGTTGTGTTCCTCTCGGATCTGGTACATGAAGCGTCATGATGGGAGGCCATCGAAGTGGCGGGACCAAACTCAGCAAGCTCAGGCCTAGGAGCCACAGACAGATTTCAGGGTGACGCCATGGGGGACGATGATACAATCACACAAAACTGATAAGGAATGGCCTCCAACCTAAGAGCGATGGCCTCCTACCTAAGAGCGATGGCCTCCAACCTAAGAGCGATGGCCTCCAACCTAAGAGCGTTGGCCTCCTACCTAAGAGCGATGGCCTCCAACCTAAGAGCGTTGGCCTCCAACCTAAGAGCGATGGCCTCCAACCTAAGAGCGTTGGCCTCCAACCTAAGAGCGATGGCCTCCAACCTAAGAGCGTTGGCCTCCAACCTAAGAGCGTTGGCCTCCTACCTAAGAGCGATGGCCTCCTACCTAAGAGCGATGGCCTCCAACCTAAGAGCGTTGGCCTCCAACCTAAGAGCATTGGCCTCCAACCCGAGAGCGATGGCCTCCAACCCAACACTGATGGCCTCCAACCTAAGAGCGATGGCCTCCAACCTGAAAGGGATGGCCTCCAACTTCAGAGCGATGGCCTCCAGGCTAAAAGCGATGGCCTCCAGGCTAAGAGCGATGGCCTCCAACCCAACACCGATGGCCTCCAACCTAAGAGCGATGGCCTCCAACCTGAGAGGGATGGCCTCCAACTTAAGAGCGATGGCCTCCAGGCTAAAAGCGATGGCCTCCAGGCTAAGAGCGATGGCCTTCAACCTAAGAGCGATGGCCTCCAACCTAAGAGCGATGGCCTCCAACCTAAGAGCGATGGCCTCAAACTAAGAGCGTTGGGCTCGAACCTAAGGGCGATGGTCTCCAACCTAAGGGCGATGGCCTCCAACTTAAGAGCGATGGCCTCCAGGCTAAGAGCGATGGCCTCCAGGCTAAGTGCGATGGCCTCCAACCTAAGGAGGATGGCCTCCAACCTAAGAGCGATGGCCTCCAACCTAAGAGCGATGGCCTCCAACCTAAGAGCGATGGCCTCCAACCAAAGAGCGATGGCCTCCAACCTGAGAGGGATGGCCTCCAACTTAAGAGCGATGGCCTCCAGGCTAAAAGCGATGGCCTCCAGGCTAAGAGCGATGGCCTTCAACCTAAGAGCGATGGCCTCCAAGCTAAGAGCGATGGCCTCCAGGCTAAGTGCGATGGCCTCCAACCTAAGGAGGATGGCCTCCAACCTAAGAGCGATGGCCTCCAACCTAAGAGCGATGGCCTCCAACCTAAGAGCGATGGCCTCCAACCAAAGAGCGATGGCCTCCAACCAAAGAGCGATGGCCTCCAACCTAAGGAGGATGGCCTCCAACCTAAGGGCTATGGTCTCCAACCTAAGGGTGATGGCCTCTAACCAAAGGCCAATGGCCTCCAACCTAAGACCTAAGAGCGATGGCCTCCGACCTAAGAGCGATGGTCTCCAACCTAAGAGCGTTGGCCTCCTACCTAAGAGCGATGGCCTCCTACCTAAGAGCGTTGGCCTCCAACCTAATCACACGAATATTAATTGGTGCAGAAAGATGCTTTCCAGACGAAGGTGTCCAAGAACATGCCAATGAGCGAAGTCTGACATACGTTCTTGTGGGAAATCCTTCCAGCGGTGAATGTTTTTTAGAAGGTTTTTGTTCAGCACTCTTAGGGCCTTAGGGTTGTTTCAAGGTGTCTTGTCAACTTGCCCATAGTTGTTGGACATGTTTGTCGGCCAGTTGATCTGGCTGAAAAGGACGTATGACTGCCTTGAACCTTTCTGACGAGTTCCTGTG